ATTGGTTATTCTGAAATCGCACTTTGGGAAAAAAAATGTCAAGGCTTTATTCAAGAATGCAAAGGAAATTTAGTAGAATGGTATTAGATATGTAGAGAAACTGAAGAAATTGGGATTGTTCTCCATAAAACAAAGACTGAGGAGAGACGACAGAAAATTCAGAAGTCTTGATAGAGTAATTAAAGACAATTGATACAGAAACTTTCTACTGGTAATATGGTCAGTAACCAGACAAACAAATTCAAGTTAACTGATAGAAGAGCCACGATTTTTTTAATGCAGTAATTTACGGTGACCTGGAATGATCTGTCTAAAAGAATGGTGGAGGTAAATTTAACTTTCAGGATGATTTGGATAAGTACTTGAAAGGGGACACAATACAGATTATGGAGGAAAAAAAAGAAGTCTAATTGGATTGTTCCTTCAACGAGACAGCATAGGCACAATGAGTTGAATGACCCCTGTACAACACCATTCTATTATTCAATTCATTGCTATTAGTGGGGCTTTCCTGCACCTTTGCAACATCCTGAGGTTATAATAATATGAATTTTCACTTACAAACAACCAAGGTTCTCATTTGATTCTTTAATGTTTCATTCAAGCAATATATATTATACACATTCAAGTAAGAGTAAAATCTCATTCATTTTAACATAGTTCAAAAGAGCCTTGGGCAGTATTTTGTTCAAACAATTGTACAGACTGACAAATTACAATATTCAGCTGCCGCATGAAATGCTGAAATGCACACAGTGTTGTAACTGGAATGTTTTTCACTAGACAGCACTTTTTGAACCTAATGAATCTGAACATGCCTTCCAAACCGGAATGACATAACTTACGAGGAACAAGGTGACATCTCAAACAGAAGGTCAGCATTTGTGGCTATGTCCACATTCTTTTCCATTGGGATACAAGATGCAGTTGACTGCAATATAACACATACACTAAACCAAACTGAGATTTAATCGTGAAATGCAAAAGAACTACAGGGGTCTGGGAACATCCTGAATAGAAATTGCTCGTTTATTTTTAAAAGAAACATCTTGAGAAGAAAATTGTATTGTTACAGAAAGCCTCTACACACATTCCTATTTAGAATGCTCAACTGACAATCAGCAGTGTGTGCCACATACTGCACTGGAATCTCAAATTTTTTGCTACGTCTACCCAAAAGGGAAATGAACGCATTAAGAAGTGCTTTAGCTCACATCGTATTAGATTTAGGCTGAGAAAAAAGGAGGCTCAGGGTATTGCCTCTCAAGAGATACCAAGCTCTCTCACAGTAAATAATGTTGATCCCATAGTGACCTGCCAACTTTGCTCGGGAGATGTTCAGTGTGTTCAAGCAATGTGCTGCGCGTTGCCTTAAAATACAGAATTGAAAAGATAAGCAACACAGTGTGGAAGACTTCAAATGTCAGCTTACATCACCGGAAACACTCTTGGTTCTGTGTCAGCTCATGAGTTCAAGCCCCACTGCAAAGGCTACTATTGAGGAAATGTGTTACATTGTCAGACCATTCAGTACTCCAATAAAATATGAAAAAAAAAGACCCCATTACACCCATTCAGGTGGACAGAAAAGATTCATGGCACCTCCAAGGAAGGGTTTGAGGAAATGTCACCAGATCCGAAACATTAACTATGATTTCTCTCCACAGATTCTGCCAGACCTGCTGAGTTTTATCAGCAATTTCAAGAAATGTCCCATGGCCTGACCAACATTTATACTCAAACAGATTAATCGATCATTTAGCTCACTTCTGTCTGTGGGACCTCACTAAACACAAATCAACAGTCACATTTTCTTGCTTAATAACGGTAACTACTCTACAAGATAATTCATCTGCTATGATACACTTTTGGATATTCAGAGGGATAAAGAAGTGCCGTTCTTTTTCATTTGCAAACCCTCAGGTGGACTAGGTGTTTAACGTCAATGTTACTTGAACTTCAAAGCAGCTTGTTGCACACTCAGTGGTTTGTGACATCAGCAAAGGCATTACGGGGAGCTTATTAAAATCTAAACTGCAGATTCTTTAATTCTCCCCCATTTCTGTAAACATCTGACTATGTACTTCCCTCATAATGGGCCATTCCACAGTCAAAAGTGAAGACAAGTGAGTCATTGGGGTCAACCTAGACTGAATCCTCTTCCTCAGAGAACTATTTAAATGTCTAAAATCAGAAACCTTGGGCTTAACACACAATCAGTGAGAACTTATGCTTCATAAGATTTACTCGCTTCTTTTAAAGACAAAGTCTTTTACCTCTCTTTCTTATTTTATTGCCAATTATCAGTCTCTGAAACTGCCCCACTCCATCACTCAGCAGCTTGTAAACAAGTGAGCAAACACAACACTTACTGACCTGACACGCTGCTCCAACTAAGCTTATGAGGATTTTTAAAAATTGCTAAAATAAAAATTAATGTTTCCTGTTTACCAAGAACAAGCTGCTCTAGGGAAGCCTTAACCTTCCTCTTCCCCAGCCAGTCATTTAATTCTGAATCATCTGCCAGACATTTTTACCACTGCCCTGTGTCCAACAAAACAGCTTTCAGCACTACTCACCACATTCTTTGGACATTTGCTCTCTTATTCAACTGTTGCTCATATGAAACACAGAGAACCACCACCCACGTTCAGCTCTCTCTAGCACTGTTTGTATAGAGAGGACAATGATCTTCAAGGACATGGGAGAAATATAACCTTTTACTGTCAAGTCTTTATGAATATATTTTAAAAACTCTGAGATTTGATGATGCAGTAAGTAAAAGCATTAATGTCAAATTCAGCTAAACAGACTGGTTTAGACAGAGGGACGGGAGTAGTTGCAGGTTTTGCTCGAGGAAGTCAGGCACCGCAAAATAACAGTACGAAAGGGGGCTAGTTGTTCACCATGTCTGTTGTGGCTCTTCGAGTGAGGTATTGAATTAGTCCCGGTCCCCTCCTTCTATGGCTTTGTAATTTTTCTTTTCAAGTAGACATTCACTTCCCTTTAAAAATCATGACTCAATTGCCTTACAAACCTTTTGAGGTTGTGCAGTCCAGATTACAACAATAGGCTCCATTTAAAAAATCTCCTATTCCTTCCAGCTTCACCTGACAATTAGAATCATAGAGTTACATAGCACCAGATCCAACTCATCCACGCTAAGCCAACATCCTAGACTGAACTAGTCCCATTTGCCAACATTTGGCCTATTTCCCTCTAACTCTTCCTATTCATGTAACCATCCAGATGCCTTTTAAATACTGTAATTGTACCCACCTCCACCATCCCTCTGGCAGCTCGCTCCATACATGCGCCACCCTCTATGTGAAATGGTTGCCTCTCAGGTCCCTTTTAAATCTTTCCCCTCTCACCTTAAACCTATGCCCTCTAGTTGTAGGCTCCATTACCCTGGAAAAAGACCTTAGCTATTCATCCTATCCATGGTTTCAAAAAACTTCTTTAAAGGTCATCCCCCAGCTTGCGACACTCCAGGGCAGAAAAGCCCAGCCTATTCAGCCTCTCCCTGTAGCTCAAACCCTCCAATCCTGGAAATGTACTAGTAAATCTTTTCTGAGCCCTCTCAAGTTTAATAACATCTTTCCCATAGCAGGGAGACCAGAACTGAATGCAGCCTAACCACTCTCCTGTACAGCCACAACATGGCATCCCAACTCCTATACTCAATGCACTGAGCAATGAAGGCAAACGTGTCAAATGCCTTCTTTATCACCCTGTCCACCTGCAACTCCACTTTCAAGGAACTATGCATCTGCACTCCAAAATCCCTTTCTTCAGCAACACTCCCAGGGCCCTACCACTAACTGTACAAGTCCTGCCACGATTTGCCTTACCAAAATGCAACACCTCACATTTATCTAAATTAAACTCCATCTGCCACTCCTTAAGGTCCCATTGTAATGCAAAATAACCTTCTTCACTGTCGACTACATTACCAATTTTGGTGCCACTTGCAAACTTACTAGCTAAACCTCCTATATTCACATCCAAACCATTTATATAAATGACGAAAAACAGTGGATCCAACACTGATCCTTGCTGCACACTACTGGTCACAGGCCTCCAATCCGACAAACAATGCTCCACTACCACTCTCTGTCTTCTACTTTCAAGCCAAATGTGTATCCAATTGTCTAGCTCTCCCTGAATTACATGTGATCTAACCTTGCTAATCAGTCTCCCGTGCATTGTTGAATGCCTTGCTGAAGTCTATATAGACAACGTCCAATGCTCTGCCTTCAATCTTCTTTGTCACTTCTTCAAAAAACTCAATCAGGGCTAGACTGGAGTCTGTTCGTATAATTTTTTGACATGAGCTGTAAATGAATGACTGCTCACACTTAATGAATGCACTTCCACTCAAAAAAGTAAGGTTCACACTGACCCCTCATCTCCAGCAAGTGCCAGCAAGACCTAAATTCACAAAGAAAAAAGGCAACTTTGGAGTTGTACCAGATTTGGTTAAGCATTTTAAAATGTAAGTATCCTAAAAGTATAGAATTCCAAGCATTTCCCACAATTTCTACTGTAAATAATGCTTGCACAGTACAAGGTGCAGCCTTAGTTAACAAAACTACAAATTTAGCTACTTAGATGATAAATAAGATTTCTGAAGAGGACCCAAAATGTTAACTGTTTCTCTCTTCACAGGTGCAACCAGACCTGCTGAGCTTCTCCACCATTCATTGTGTTTGTTAAATGGTCAACAAAATGTTTCACTGAAATGTAGCACATTATGTATGGCAATAGAATGCCTTTATTTAATGACATATGTGCATTTTGTAAAGGATAGAAATTGATTTGCTTCTGAGGAATAGTACACAACTTTTTTGGTATCAAGTAACAAAGCATTTAATCTGTACATAGGCAATTAAACTACTGGGCATTGTAGTTTAGGTTAAAAGCTGAAGAAAATCTAATCACGTACAACATTTGAGAACTGTGGCAAGTAAGATAGAAAGAGATTGGCCTTCACTTACCAACTGAACATATGCGACTTTATAATCAGGACGCTTCACCCTTTGATTTTTATGGTTTCTCTTCTTATTAGTACCTAAACAGCAGTTTTGAGTGATCATGAGAAGATAAATTCAGTGGATGCACCCCAGTACAATATATTTGAAGAGAAGTTAATAGTATTATTCAGAATGCTTTCCAACAACACATTGATTAAACCAACTGTCTTTGTCCCTGGCTCACAAAACATGCTGCTCTCAGCAGGTTTGTGATCACCATTTCACCACTATCACTTAGCCATCTGTTCTTCCAGACAGGTTTCCCAGCTTTCAACTTAAACCTGTCTAGTGTCGCCAGACAGTTGAATGCTCATTACAAGTTGTTTGTCCTGCTTCCCTTTTAAACTTAAGGTATCTCTCTGTAACCAACAGGCTTCTTAAGAATTTTGACATTCTTCTCTGATATGACCAATCTCTATAATATTCCTTACAACTCTTTCTGCCATCCTCCATTCCTTTGCAGTACAAAGTAGGAAGGAGTCAGATTCAACCCCAAACCCTGGTCAAGTCAGCTGACCACAACAGTAGACAAGCTAAAATTGATCATTACATCCCAGTTAGCAGCTTCAAAAAAAAAGCAGTTCTGAATTCTGATGCCCTAGGTGTTCACACAACATTCCTTGAGAAAATGGGACAGCAGCAACATAAATACAAAATTGGTTGAGTGACAAATAGGAAACAAAGTAAATTAAGTCAGTACTTTTAAGGCTGGAGGAAGGTTGGCAGTGGAGTTCCCCAGGTCAGTTTTGGGACACTTGCTTTTCCCGATGTGTATGAACAGTCTAGACCTTGGCGTGCACAGGAAAGTAAGAAAATGAAAAAAAGATTTTGACAAGTCGGTGGAGTGGGCAGATAGGTGACAGATGGAATTCAAAGCAAAGAAATGTGAGGTGACATATTTTGGCACAAGGAAACAGCATAAAATAAAGGGTGCTACCCTAAAGGATGTGCAGGAGCAGAAAGACCTGGATACAGATGAGGATAAGTCAATAAAGTTGGCAGGACAGGTAGAGCAGTTACTAAAGTTGGCAGGACAGGTAGAGCAGTTACTAAAGTATACAGTACCATAGCCTTCATTAACAGGGATACAGAGTACAGAAGCAAGGAGAGTGTGATGAACTTGTCAAATACACTAGTTAGACTTCAACTGGAGTACTGTGCACAATTCTGGGTGTAATACTTTAGGAAGGACGTGAATATATTTGAGAGAGTTCAGAAGACACTTCCAAGAATGGGTCCAAGGATGACGAATGAGTTATGAAGACAGACTGGAGAAGCTGGGACTGTTTTCAATGGACAGGAAAAGGCCAAGAGAAGATTTGATAGAAGCTTCCAAAATCATGAGGCAGATTGGACAAAGTAGATAGGGAGAAACTCACTATTACGAGGGGGCATAGTTTTAAAGTCAGTGGAGGCAGATATAGGGGAGACATCAGAGGTAGGCTCTTTAATCAGAGAGTGGTAGGGGCGTGGAATGCGTTGCCGGAGAGGGTAGTGGAGTCGGCCTCATTAGGGGCATTTATGCAGCTATTAGATAGGCATATGGATGCTGGTATAAGGTAGGAGTGGAGGCTAAATAGACCTTGGGATTAGGGTAAAGGTTCGGCACAACATCATGGGCCGAAGGGCCTGTACTGTGCTGTGCTGTTCTATGTTCCATGTTCCATGTTCTAAACCCTTTCCCTTATAAAGGGATTGAGAACAAGAGAGCACAGATATAAGGCAGAATGCAAAAGAAGCAAATGTGCTGTGAGAAAGAATATTTTTCAGGGTAGTTAGGATCTGCAAAGTGCTACCTAGCAGTGTGATCGAGATAGCTTCAACTGAGATATTCAAGAGGAAATGAGCTAATGATTGAAATAGAATGATATTCAGGGATATGGAAAAATGACAGGAGAATGGAACTACATCAGAATGCTCATTCAGAAAGCCAGTGCAGATACAACATGCTGAATAGCCTCCTTTTGAAACGTAATAGCTCTGTGATTGTGTCTCCAACTGTAAAAGCATTTAGTCAGTATGGATTTGGAGTGGATGGGACAAAGTTGTAATGTTCCATCCCTACAAAGCAGTTGTTCCAAACATTAGCTCACCCACCCAGACAGACAAGGCACCCGACAATATTAATCACTCATCAGGAAATGGCAAGATTTATGGCCAATGTTAAAGAAAGGTTCACTGTAATAGTTTGGAGGCCATTCTTTTAACCAGCATTGCCAGTTACTTACAGTATTGTATTCTGGTCCTCACTGCAGCTACTGGGACACTATAGATGCTTTGTAGGTAATTCTTCACATCAAATTTTGTCATCCTGTAAAACACAGGTTTGAGATCGAAGATGTTTAAAAAAAGAGGTTAATGTGTGGAAAAAGAAATGAGCAAATGCTTTCCCCACACTTAGGAATTAGAGGCTAACAAAATTATTCAACTTCAAAACAAGAGTTCACAACTTTGACCAGCAATAGTAAATTAGTCATTAATTGATAGTAAAGTACTAGCTCAATACATTGCTGTGTGATAGCAAATGCTTATACCCTAGATCTTGCACACTTCCATTAACTGAAGCTTGTAATTTTCACATTCAGAAACATCTACAATACCTTAACAGCTCACACAGGGCCTCTAGTGGCAAAAACCAGCACTATTAGGCAATAATCAGAGAACATATTAAACAAAATGACTGGAAGTGCACACATTTTAATCATCAAGACGTATGCTTTTACAGATTGCACAGGACTTTGCCAAAAATCCAGGTGGAATCAATCCAGCAATAGCCCTCTCAATAAATCAGAGCAGCCACCATGAGCCAGTGTCACATTTCTTACAAGCCCAGAGCAGAGCTGGTTAAGGTTGAGGAGCAGTTCACCCTCTCAATGAAAGAGTTGAGCATCCTAGGAAACAGTATTGAATACTGATGCCTTTAAACCAGGACTGTGCACATAGACCCACATGATTTGAAGTTCTAATAGCCTTCGATTTCGCTGACTACATTTCTAACCCCTTCTACTTACTCCATAGGAATCCTAAACTGGACTGTATTCTCTGGCTGCTCCCTTCCAGGCCTTACAAGGGTCATAAAAAAGTTGGTTCGAAATATCCGGAGCTGAGGGTTTCCAAGTTGATATAACGGATAGCTGTGGGGACATAAATGATGAAATTTGAATATGTATATAATACTAAAGAAAAACAGATATTGCTGGAAAATCTCAGCAGGTCTGGCAGCATCTGTGGAGACAGTTAATGTTTCGGGTCCAGTGACCCGTCTTCAGAACTGATGGGAGCTGGAAAAAGGAAGGTATTCATACAGAAGATGGAGGGAATGGGGAGTAAATGATAGGTGGAGATAGAGCCCAAATAGACAGAAAAACAGTTGGACAGACAAAGGAGTGGTTAAATGTCAGTGTGGAGGAATGAATAGCTGCTAATGGGGACAATTAGTGACTGACAATGGTTTGTGTGTGGTAGCAGCCTGTGTAATGACAAGGCCTGGTGAGTGGAGGTAGGTGAAAGCATGGGCAAAGGTGCTCAAGCCCTAAAATTGTTGAAATCAATATTAAGTCCAGAAGGCTGGAGGATTCCAAAGCTAAAAATGAGGTGCTGTTCTTCCAGCTTGCTCTGAGCTGTGCTGGAGTACTGCAGCGAGCCTGACAGTGATGTTGGCCAAGGAACACGATGGTGTGTTGACGTGGCAAGCAACCGGAAGCTCAAAGACTTTTTCGCGGACAGAACATAGATGTTCCATGAAGTGGTCACCCAGTCTGCACTTTGTTTCCCCAATGTAGAGGAGAGCACATTGTGAGCGGCAATGTGAAGTGCAGGTAAAGGGAGGTGTGGGGATGTTTGAGAGTGAAGGAGGAGTGGAGCAGGGTGTCCAGAGGGAACAGTCCTTGCTGAAGGCTAACAAGTAAGGGGAGGGGAATGTGTGTCTGGTGGTGGCATCCCACTGGAGGTGACAGAAATGGTGGCTAATGAGCCTCTGGATTTGGATGCTGGTGGGATGGTAGGTAAGGACAAGGGGATCCTTTCGCTCTTGCGGGAGGGAAGAGAGAGGGTGAGGGCCAAAGTGCAGGAGATGGGTCAGACCCAGCTGAGGGCCTTGTCATCAACAGTTCTCAATGAACAGGTCAACTGCAGCTAAAAGGCCATGGGGAGAGGTCCAGGTGGAGGTCGAATGTTGGAGGTGGGCATAGAGCTATGTGAGATGGGGAGAGGACTAATGTCCAAAGAAATGGGCACGGAGATGAAGGAGACAGTAGAAGAGTTCAACATCGTGTCGTGCCCAAAATTAATTCGGGTGGGGATGCAGAGGGATAAAACTGAGACCTTTGCTGAGTACAGAATGTTCAGCATCAGACAGCAGAAGGTCCGAAGGTTTAGTAAATACACATTGTTGGCACTGAATGCAAATATGCACAATCCTTGTTTAAAAATCTTTCTTCCTGCTGCCATATTTTTATGGTATTCATACATTAATATTTAACACTGACATTTCCTATCTAAATTCTGATGGGATGTTAAACTAAAGCCATCAAACCTCTTACCATGGGATTCTCTAGTTGTCCTAGCCAACATTTATTGCACAAATAGCATTGTGGAGATAATTGAAAATAAATCATTTATAACACAAAGAGGCCAGTTGACCCATCAAGCTCATATAGATTACCACTTAGCTCATTAGTGTTACGGGATGCACCAACAAAGTAAAAGGCATTCTATATCTACAGGCATGCTCCTTAAGTTCAGTGGAATGATCATCAAACTGAAGCAGTAATTCTATTTCTTTCCACAGATGCTGTGACATTTTTCCAGCAATTTGTTCTTGTTTCATACTTTCCACATCCATGGTATTTTGATTCTGTATTTGTGCTTGTTCATTTTTTTAAAAAATCTAATTGAATTGCCTTCTACAATGAATCAGTCAATTCATGCTGCCCTTCTCCGTGAGCAAACTTTTGACTTCTCCCATCCACAATTCCCTCAGACCTGAGGATTCCAATCCTACCAAGAGCTATTCATCCTAACTCAACCCCCCTTAAGGTTTCCCCTTACAGTTACACTTATCCTTCTTCCTTTTTTCCACTCTAACCCCATCACAAATACGACAAGCCAAGTGCTCAACCTCCTTCCCCTGCTCCCTGGTTAGATTTCTTCTCATACGAAGCTTAACTATTCTACATCTCAGCTCTTACTGTGCCCCTCCTAAATAATCACAGTTTTCTATCTCCACAAGCCCCCCCTTCCTTATGTTTTCATCCATCATTCTTCTACACTCTCTCTCAACTTCCCATCCCATTTGATTCCTTTAGGTCTCCCTTCCTCCTCCCGATCCCTCAAATTCCCACACCTAGGCAACTACCTTATAAACAAGACTGACCTGTAAACCCAAATATCCAATGCCAACAGAAATAAATCTGCACTAAAATCCAAAGTACAGGTCAGTTTGTTGCCACTACAACGATAAACAATCCAACAGATACAGATTTGATTGACTGCCATGCATACTGCCAGAATATTTCCCAGATTCAAGTCATTTATCACATTTCTTTTCATATTTAATTCAAATCTAAAGGCAAACTTGGTAGAACCAAGGAGCATTGACGTTATCTGATCGTATTCATAGCGCACCTATAGGATTAAGTCAAGCAATTTCTAGAAGACACAAGGTAGACAGTTTAAATGAAGAAACAGATCTTAGGTCAGAACTATAATTCTTATTGTAACTTAGAATAGAACCCATACAGATCATATTATTCCATAAACACTTTAAGAAATGCACAGTATGTTCAATTAATTAAGAGAAGAGGGGCTATTCTCAGCATCCTGGCTAATATTTAGCCTTTATTCAAAATCATTAAAACTTATTATCTAGTCATTATCTTGATGCTAATCTTAACTGCTAATGGGACCTTGCAGTGCACAAACTGCATGCCATATTTTCTAGGATTCCAGAATGACTACACTTTAGAATTTCTTCATCTGAGGTAAAGTGCTTTCATTTTTACTAAGATTGTAAAACGTGCTATACAAATGCAAGGTTTTTTTTTGTGGGGCAAGTGCAATTCAATCCACCTGATGTTTAATATACTACTAGGGCCTTTCTCAATAGAATCTAGCTAAATGCCAAACAGTGCCTACGACAAAACCACTTTTGGAACCCAATATTATTACAGTTCAGTTTAAAATAAGTATTGCAATGGTGCCTTTTCTAATTCATTCATGGAATGTGGGCATTGTTGGTTAGATGAGTATTTATTGTCAATCCCTAATTTCCTAAACTGAGTGATTTACTAGGACATTACAGAGCATTAAGAATCAACAACATTGCTGTGGGTCTGGAGTTACATATAGGCCATACCAGGTAAGGATGACAGATTTCCTTTGCTAAAAAATATTAGTGAACAAAATGGGTCTTTACAACAATCAACCGTGGTTATACAGTGGTTACTAGTAGGTTAGCTTTTCAGTCCAGATTGATTCATACGGATATCCCCAGAACATTAGTTAGGGCTCTGGATTGCTAATCCAGTGACACGACTGCTACTGCCTTCTGTCATTCAGCTGCAGGAACCAAAAACTGCCGCATCCTCCTTTGCAGTTTTAGAACTTTGAATGGATTTAAGGACTCAAATGACATTACTATAATTTTTCAATTTCACAACATATTCCTGCCTCACAAAGGCCAGCCTGTATATCATGCTAACATGCTAAATGTACAGATTTACATCAAGTTCAGTAATTTGATGATCTTGACCAGAAGTTAGCAAACCACTTAGAGAAGGCAAAAGGTAGATGTGTGGCCAAGGCGTGGATCTGTCCAATTCACTGGGAAATTCCCTAACAAATTACCTGCTTCATGAAAGCTTTGCAGCAAGCATTTAAACTGGACAGATGTTTTGGACTTGTTGCAAGACCATGTCAAATTGCAGTAATGAAAATAGCAAAGACTTTGAGAATTGGTGGGCTCATGATACAGAAAGGAAGTACATAAACTTTATCTCTTAAACTAGCTATCTCTTTCCAAATCCTGGCAAACCCACATCACACTTCTATCTAAGATAATAAGGTGTAGAGCTGGATGACCACAGCGGGCCAAGCAGCATCATAG